CGCAACAGAAAGAAAATAGACTCAAAAGAGCTAAAAAGTTGCTTCGCTTGGCCGAAAGTGCTGAACTGTCGAATTTTGTTTTCTCCGATGAGAAAACATTCTTTCTTCAGCAGTTTGTAAACAAACAAAATTATCGTGTTTACTTGCCAAAGAGGTCAGCTGAAAATGTGCACCTTCGGTTGGCCACCAGAACTCAAACGCCGGCCATGGTGATGGTGTGAGCCGCCATAACAGCCGATGGTCGCTCTCCGCTCGTATTAATCGAACGTGGCATCAGAATAAATTCCGAATATTATCGCGAAAATATTCTGCAGGGTGTATTAAAGACGTGGGCACGCAAACATTTTGGCCGAGGACCTTGGACATTCCAACAGGACTCAGCATCATCGCACTCAGCACTCTCCACCCAAGAATGGTTACAAAATGAGGTTCCTCGCTTCATTTCCAGCTCACAGTGGCCACCAAAATCTCGCGATACAAATCCGTTAGACTATTGTGTCTGGAGTATTTTGGAAAGCAAGGTTGGCACTAAGAAATACTAAAGTGTCGATCATCTCAAGCAAGCGCTTCGCCGGGAATGGGCCAAAATACCTCAGAGAAACATTCGGGCAGCATGTGAATGGTTAAAAATTGAGGTTCCACGCATCCTTTCCAGGCCACAATGGCCACCAAAATCTCCGTACCAATCCTTTTGACTATTGTGTCTGGAGTATTTTGGAAAGCAAGGTTGGCACTAAGAAATACCAAAGTGTCGATCACCTCAAGCAAGCGCTTCGCCGGGAATGGGGAATGGGTCAGAGCAACATTCGATCAGCGTGTGACGGTTTCATTCGTGCCAAAGGTGACCAATTAAAACAAATCTGAACTTATTTTAAAATTTAATGCTATTTCCGACATTTGTTGCGTTCATTCAATAAAATTAAAAAGATGTAAAAATTATGGCGTTTAACTTTGTTCCAGTTTTTTATCTCACCCTGTGTTTGACAGATGTCGAATTCTAGTTCCATACTTTTATTTACTAAAATCATTCATTTTGACTACTTTTTATGTGGTATATTCATTGACCAACTTGGGTCAGTATTAATCATTTTTGAACTCAATGCGACCTCTTCAAATAATACCAGTGAGCGGGGCAGTATAGTCGGACGGGGCCGACCATACGGTAGCCTACACAACTACCACGGAACACTAAATTTCTGCCGATGTTTTTTATGAATACGTAAGCACCTATAAATATTTAAATATAACTCCCACATCCGAATACATACGACCATATAATTTGTATCAAATTAAAGGTTAACCTCTCCTCTTGTATATACTATCAACTTCTCGGGTCTATGTCCTCATTTTTTACACAAAAGTCAGTGCCCATTTGACCCACTAAATATTGACCGATCTTTATCAAACCATGCGTGTATATTCTTTGGCCGGTCCGATAATTGCGGTCTGTAGGAGCGACCAGAAAACCCGACAAAAATTAAGTATTTGGTCCATTTGATCCCCTAAATATTAGCCGATCTTTATCAAAAACAATAGCCAAAAACCCATCCTAGATGCAAAATTTCGTGAAGATTGGTCCATAACTGTGGCCTGTATGGACAGACGGACGGACACACATGTCTTAAAGTTGAGTCTAAGACCAATATTTCGCGACGTTATTGGGGCTGCACAAAGCTATAATACCCTGAGAAAATAGTTGTGTAAGGTATAATCTATATATATAAAAATGAATTGCTGTTCGTTAGTCTCGCTAAAACTCGAGAACGGCTGAACGGATTTATCTCATCTTAGTCTTGAAATGTTCGCGGAAGTTCAGGGAAGGTTTAAAAGGTGAGAAAATATCGAATAAATACCGCGAAACCTCTAAAAGCTGGCTTTTACATTTCCCATACAAATGCTTTCTAAATAAAATGTAGAGTCATAGAGACAATTTGCATTTTGTGTCAAATTATTTTTTATGTTTGACAAATTTTAAGTTTTTAAAAGCAACCATAATGTATTGAAACATTTATTGTGAGAATGCAAAAAAAAAAAAAAAAAAATTGAGAAGTCTATCATTTTCCATAAAATGCACGTAAATTTTGGGACAAATGCAAGGATGAAAATCAGAAGACATTCGAAATAGTTTTCTGATTCTAAGATACAGGCCCTAGATTATTTTTCTTGAAACATTGGAAACCGGGGGTAAGCGAAAATGAAACGGAAAATATGTATGGCGCCTTTTAAATACATCAGGTCAATTCCATGAGAAAATTCGGTCAAAGTCTTTACAATACCGAAAATGGAGGGCGAACTGTATGTAGGAGCTTTATCAAAACTTGGTCCTTAATAGAAATGTTTCCGCAAAAATTTGTTTTACCCTTCAATATCCCGGAATGATATATGATATGAATGATATATGATACTACAATGGGAATGGATATGTACTAATTTTTGGTAGAAAGATTTGACACTACATGATAATAGGGGATACCAAAATAGGGGGACTACCCGGAAACTTGGACCAATATTGATAATTTTTGGTAAAGAGGTTTTGATCATCCAAAATAAAACATTACAGCCACTTTGGTTGAAACACTGGACCAAACTGCCAAAAATACGAATATTGTGGGTACCGCTATATGGGAGCTGTCTCAAAGAGTCGACCAATATTGACAATTTTAGTATGATTCATTCTACCATATAAAACAACCAAATACCAAATAAGAGACGGTGCTCAAATGCCCCACATTATCATAAAACGTGAAGTACAATTATATGGGCGATATTTGGAAGCTTGGGCGAATATGAAATTGCAACCAAATACCGAATATTAAGTGATACCGTTATATGGGGGCTAAACGAATACGAAAACCAATATTGAATATTTTAATTAGGGAGATTTTCTGCTCAATAAGTATCAGTAATATTAAATTTGTAGCAATTCTCTTGAATACCGTCATATTCAAGCCCAGATATAACGGTATCGTTATATGGGGGCTACCCTAAAGTGGACCAAAAATTCAAAATTTTTAATATCAAATATCTTATGAGTAGTAGAAATGTATGAGCAAATTTCAAAGTTCTATCTTAAAAGTTCTGGAGGGAGCAACAAAATTCGCTCATAAACATCAAATTATAGATATGGGCACTTCCGCAGTCACTTACACGACTTTCAGAGGCAAAATTAAATTTGAAATCTTAAATAAATCGGAAACAATTACATTTTTACATTTCACCCATAATACTTTTTTAATAGATCTTTAGAAGTACTATCAGTGGTAAAAAAATTAAGAGCCTCCAGTTTTTAACTTTTGAGATAAAAGCCACAAAAGAGCGGTCACTCACGCGACTTCAAATATACATGACTTTAGACATCACTGCTAATACTGGGAAAACCCTGCGAATTGTGTGAAAGCATTATAATTGGACTTTTAAAATTTCAAAATTTGGCATATCCTTTATTTGCGAAGCCTTTTTCTCGGTCACTCACGCGACGTATCTCACGCGACATTGTTGATTTTGCATTTTTTATTTCTCTGCATTTATAATCTTTAAATTAGTATTTATGCTAAGAACAAGAAGAAAAAATGACAAATGTTGTCTTTCTTTGTATTTTTTTGCCTTTTCTTTACGAATTAAAGCACAAATAAAGAAACAAATTGTTCGACTTTGGTTTACCTTTTTGCGGAAATGCCCATATTCAGTTTTGTAATGTTATTTTATGTGTGCTCTGACAAATACTTATGGTGGAGGGTATATAAACATAACCTTAAATACCAAAAATTATACATCAATCATATTGCTAGGCAAGACAACGTTTGCCGGGCCCGCTAGTTACAAATAAAATTCCGAACCTAGGAAGGTTCCCTTATATAAGTATATCTACATATAAAAAAAAACAATAATATTCGAAAATTTCTTTTATATTTTATTATTTTTCGTAAGATATTCCAATTTTTTTTTAACATTCCATAACGTAGAGAAGAAATATAGAATTTCTATTTTTTATAATTCGTATAACATTTCGAATTCGAGATTGCCAATATTCGTAGAACTGACAGTTAAATAAAGATCACAATGAAGAAACAGATCACATTTTAATAGACGTAACCACCATTGGCGGCATATTTAGTACCGCCTGATGAGGACGATGTATATGAAGCTCCGCTTACAGTTTGCAATGTTGGTGCCTTATACGAACCACTAGTTCCGCTTGAAGTTGAGGTGAATGTGGTTTTGGGTGCTGTATAGGATTGATAACTGTTATATGATTGGCCAGGGCCAGCTGAAGATTGTTGTTGGGCGCCACTGCTGGTGAAAGTGGTTTGTGGTGCTGAGTAGGCTTGTTGTGCCGATGTGGTGGTGTAGGTTTTCTGTACTGTGGGCGCTGAGTATGTTACCTTTTGGGTAGCCGGGGCGGTGTAGGATTGATAACTGTTATATGATTGACCAGGTCCTGCAATGGATTTTTGACCGTTACTGGAGCTGGTGAAGGTGGTTTGTTGTGCTGATGGAGCTGTGTAGGCTTGTTGGGTCGAGGTACTGGTATAGGTTTTCTGAATTGTGGGTGCTGAATATGTTACCTTTTGGGTAGCAGGTGCGGTGTAGGATTGATAACTGTTATATGATTGACCTGGTCCAGCAGAGGATTTTTGGCTGCTACTGGAGCTGCTGAAGGTGGTTTGTTGTGCTGCTGGAGCTGTGTAGGCTTGTTGTGTCGAGGTCGATGTATAGGTCTTTTGCACTGTGGGTGCTGTGTAGGTTACCTTTTGAGTGGCGGGTGCTGTATAGGATTGATAACTGTTGTAGGATTGACCAGGTCCAGCAATGGATTGTTGAGAGCCACTAGTATATGTAACCTTTTGGGTAGCAGGCGCTGTGTACGATTGGTAACTGTTATACGACTGACCAGGTGCCGAACTAGTTTTTTGGGAACTGCTGGTGTAGGTGACCTTTTGAGCGACAGGAGCTGTATACGACTGTTGCGATGAGGTGGATGTGTAGGTCTTTTGTACAGCTGGTGCTGTATAGGTTACCTTTTGTGGTGCCGGAGCAGTGTACGATTGATAACTGTTGTAAGACTGACCTGGACCAGCATTGGTTTGTTGGGAGTTACTAGTCGTATATGTAACCTTTTGGGTAGCTGGAGCAGTATAGGATTGATAGCTGTTATAGGATTTACCAGGTCCAGCAATGGTCTGTTGTGAGCTGCTACCTGATGTATAGGTGGTGGTCTTTTGTTGTATTACCGGTGCCGTATATGATTGGAAAGTCTTAGAGGCACCACCCGATGTTTGCTGAGAGCTAGTGTACGTAGTCTTCTGTGCAGCAGGAGCTGTATACGATTGATAGCTATTATATGATTGACCAGGTCCAGCTATAGTTTTCTGTACAGTTGGGGCAGTATAACTCTGCGATGTGGTTGTTGATTTATAGGTCTGCTGTTGGACAAGTGGAGCTAAATAGTTTTTGTCAACATTAGTAACGGATTTTTGAACACTAGAAGTGCTATAAGACTTTGGAGCGGTATAGGCTTGATAGCTGTTATATGATTTACCTGGAGCGGATATGGTTTGTTGGATGATGGGTGCTGCAGGGGCAGTGTAAGCCTGTTGAGCAGATTTACTCGAATAAGTTACAGTTTGTGCCGCTGGAGCTGTATAGGTTTTTTGATTTCCCGTCGATGAAGTATACGACTGATAACTATTATAAGATTTACCAGGTCCAGAAATGGTCTGTTGTACGCTGGGTGCTGTGTACGATTTTTGTGAACTGAACGTCTGTTGAACCACTGGGGCACTATAGGTCTTTTGCACAGTTTGTTTTACAACTGGAGCTGTAAATGTCTTTTGAACCACCGGAGCAGAGTAGGTTTGGGAAGTAAAAGTTTTTTGAACAGCTGGAGCACTATAGGCGGCCTGTTTAGTACCAGAAGAATAACCAGTATTACTATTATATGTTGTGGTAAACGATTGTTGAGCTGGGCCTGAACTGGATGAGGTGCCCGTTACTTGTTGCTGTTGTTGATAAGCACCTGAATTGTAACCTCGAGTAGCTGTAGAAGTAGAGTAGCCAGTATTTCCAGAGTTATAACCACGATTTGATGTTGATGTTGTGGTGGAGGAGGATGAGAAAGCAGTTTTGCCAGCATTCAAAGCACTGCCGCTTACTAAATTACCAGCCGTGTATCCAGATGATGGTGAAAATGAGACGGTACGCGATTGAGCTGATACCGAATGCGGTGGCAAATAAGTATTGCCGGCCAGGTGAGAGACATCAGCACTCACACAGGCAACCAAGGCGACTAGAGCTAGCACACATTTCTGTAAGAGAAAAGGAGGAATTTCAAAATTAGTACTAACAAAAGTTGATACAGAATACAATAAAAATTATAAAATATCGCTTCTTCCTCTTCAGATAACAAAGCCATACATTTGTATACCCTTCACCAACATGGCGAAATATTTGTCAACGGCCCCCGTAATTTATGGGTATTCTTGTTCAAGTTAAAATTCTACGTTGCCTTAGTCATGTCTGTTGATATCACGATAGAGATCGCAATATTTAAATTAAAGATTCACAATTCCGGAAATGAGATATATCGATCAACGTATTCCAATAGATCCCATAAATGGTCCCGCTCCATATCCGTTATTTTAGAGATTTTTATACATATTTCTTTGTGTATAATTTTCATTTCGATAAATATAAGTCCGCATTTTACCATAGCCACCACATCCACTGAAGTGGATGTAAATTGTCATTTAGGTCTTTTGGAGGATGATTAGGACTTCATTGAACTTCAAAATTTGTCTTTGATTCATCTTGCATTATAAAATATTTTTTGTAGCTGAGTATCTGCAGTTTGGTACTTAATTACCCCACTAGAATAGAAGACATAGTCCCAAACAAAAATGTCGACCCATTTAAGGGTACAAAAAATCGCCGTAATTAGAGTTAGGATCAAGAGCTACTTTTTATAAAAAAAAACTGTAAATTCTGTTGAATAGCGTGTGTAGGATTCCCAAAATAATTTGGCGGAAACGTATATATCGGTCGGACAATTCAATTCGGTTGAATAGCGTGTCTAAAATTACCAAATATGGCGGGATTACGGTCCACTAATTGGTGATTGGGACTTTCGAATGTATAATTTCTGTCAAAATGGTGTCGAAGAAATAAAAAAAATCGATTTCGATGCTTCAAAGGCGTTTATAGGATCATCAGTGGTCCCGAATCATGTACCTATACGTACGGTGATGAAACAAAACAACATTCTACCCGATAGGGTCTTCAAAGACGAGCCAAATCTTCGTCACCACAATTTGCTTGCCTGAGGTATTCAAAGCAATTCGAAAGACGAATAACTGAAGGTGAATCGCAGTACCACCCATAACAATGCGGGTTTTCACACATCGTCTCAAATCAGTACCTTTTTGGCCGGGCATAACATAGAATTGATGGGTTATCCGCAACACCAGTATTGACTCGACACATAATGATTTCTTTTCATTCCTCATCAGAAGATGGCGCTCTATCGTGATTTTACACGGACTCGAAATTATGAATAATATGTTTTACAAACATATTCTTAATTCGATTTTCTGCATGAAATTTTCTGGATGAAATTTGGCACAGCTCATTTGTTTGGCCCAAGGCCGAACCCTATTGAAAAATCCGTTCAGATTTAGATGTAGCTCCCATATATATTTTCGTCCGATTTTAGGTAAATGGTTTACCAAAGTCCGTATATATCTTTCGATTTGCACGAGATTTGGCACAACGTAATGAATTAGGTCTAGAATGATGTGTGTTAAGTTTCGTGAAAATCGGTTCAGATTTAGATATAGCTCCCATATATATTTTCATCCGATTTAAGGTAATTGGTGCACCAAAGACCCTATATATCTTTCGATTAGCACGAAATTTGGCATATTGTACTGAATTGTGGATATAATAAAGTGTGCTAAGTTTCATGAAAATCGGTTCAGATTTGGATATAGTTCTCGTATATAATTTCGCCTGTTTTTAGGTAAATGGTGCACCAAAGTCCCTGGAAATCATTCGATTTGCACGAAATTTGTCATAGCGTACAGAATTAAGGCTACAATGACATGTGCTAAGTTTCGTGAAAATCGGTTCAGATTTAGATATAGCTCCCATATTTATTTTTATCTGATTTTATGTAATTGGTACACCAAAGTCTCTGAAAATCATTCGATTTGCACGAAATTTGTCATAGCGTACAGAATTAAGGCTACAATAACATATGCCAAACGGTGGTGAAGGGTATCATATAGTCGGCCCAGTCCGACTTTACTACTTTCCTTACTGGTTTTTAAGATAGCGCTCTGACATTTTGCACAGTAGTCTTAGAAGTCTTAGGCCAATCGAAGTGGCTGGAATTCTCCCTACCAACAATTATTAATATTGACCCAAATTTCAGTGGATTCCTTATAAAACGATCCCCTCCCCAATATTGGTATTTCGACGTTTTTTTACAGTTTTTCCAAACGAATTGCCTTTAATTTGGTATTTCATTGTATACTACGTATCCGTACCAAACAATTACTAATATTAACACACGTTTCAGGATGTTCTCCATTTAACGATACATCCCCCCTTTCGGTATTCTGGGGATTTTGGACACGCTTTCCAACGAATTGGCTGTCATTTGGTATTTTGGGTTATCATTGGATGTCAAATCTCACTACCAAAAAATAGCAATATTGATCTCCGTCTTATTATAGCTTCATATAACGGTATCCCCATCTCATATTTTTCTCACGTATTCTTGCGAATGTTCAAGGTCCTATCATAACATGAGTTTTCTCTCAGGAGCCCCCATTAATTTTAGATGATTTGATTATCTCAAACTCCTTAAACCAAAAGGATCGATAGGCCGAGATTTTGCTGTCCCTGTGTGTACTGAACACCGAGATCAAGTCAGCATTTGCCCTTTTGCTCTATGTGTGGTTTCTGTCCGCACTGAGCTGGCCTAAATTTCCTAATCTTCTTGAACCGTATACAAGACGATGATTTTGACTTTCATGTCTGAACCTCACAGACATGAAATCGATATTTGAATGTTTTCATCGTCCTTTTCACTTTTACCCGATCATTGTCCTGAATACCTTTCAAATAAATTATTCCGTATCAAGAATTGTCGGAATCATCTGGATTGTTTACTATATATACTTCATTATACTAAACCCAGGGGATTTTCCAATACTTATCCAGATTTTTGTACAGGTTAAAATCAACCGATTAAACTTATCAATTGATATCTTTATTTTGTTCACCCCCTTTCCTGTGACCTCGCTTTTGTATTACAGTGTTATAGATCCGATTAGTGAAATGGATCAACTATTTTTTGTTTTTTAATTCCGGGAAGGCATGATTCGAAATAGTGGAAGTTATACTAAAATATTACAGTGGTCTGCATATTACTTTTTATCTAGCCATTAAATGTTAACCAGGCTCTCTAGAAATATCATCTTGGACAATGAAGGAGTAAAGTGGTTGAACACCTATGTATGCACTTTTAACATTATTTGAACACATTTTTAACATTTCATATAGTTATTATTTTAATCCACGGTAATTATATTTATCGGCATTCACATATTTTTGCCTTGATCCTTGTTACCACCACACACATAATTTATTCCATTTCATTAATAATTTTCTCACGTTTTTGCAAAACAAAAAACATAAATCCAAATAAAACATTTCCAAGGACACCAAAAACACATCATTTTGCCATATTCAAATTTATTATTCAACTTTAAGATTATTAATGTGGTCTGTGGCAATATTCGCGAGTGTCAAAAATATTTCGAAAAAAAATTTATAAAAATATATATTCACAAAACTACACTGACCATTTTGAATGGCACCTTTTGGTTTCCTCTGCTCCGTTTTTATGGTTAATAAATTGTTAGCTGAGATTTTTTCCGATTTCTTCACTTAATTCGCGTTTAATGTCGAGTTTTATTTCTTTTTTTCTTCTTTTGTAAATCTCAGGTAATTAACTACAAAAAATATGCAAATTAAACGAAACAACGAAGAAGATGAAGGTGTCGGAAATCCGCGCACAACTGTGGTTGCCGCTGGTACAATTAGAACTGTTTAGTGTTTGTCTGGCAGCGCACGCATTTATAGTTGAAACACAATTCAGAATAACTAGCCGAGCCATGGCAGATCGCAATTCAGTCAGACAGCCAGTCAGTCAATCGCCAAAAAGTTCACAGGCAAGATGCTCAAACGTTAGAAGATTATGACGTTAAAGCGTCAAAGAAGACAAAGAAGTAAGCCATACCGGCAAATGGGTTTGCGCTTCATTCCGCACCACACAACCCGTAATACCTTATTCGTAATGATAGACATATGTAAGACACAAAAATACCGGCTAGCCAAGTTCAGGCCAAAATAAACTGTCATACAACATGTATGTGTCGGCTGGCCAATAGATAGACGGGTGGAGTCTATACCCCCTCCACCCTCATGCCGCATTGCTGCTTCTTCTTAAGTGTTAAATCGACAAAAGCAATATTTTGATTATAAATCTGCGCCCACAATATTCAAGCAAAAAATAGCAGCAGCAACAGTAAATGAAATAGAAGTCTTCACAACCAGCACGGTAACACCGAGCTGGTTCGGAATAGTAAAAGACGCGATAATATCCATAAAATGGATGAGTTGTGCATGTAATCACTGACAAGCTCTATACATCTTTTCCATCATCATTACCCCTAGCCATTATCAAAGACATGAGTGTAAATGGCGTTGCCTCCATCACCCTAACCAATGCCACAATTTGACAACTAGAATTGCAATAGCATAGATTATTTACTTGTTGGATTATATTACACTTAGGATTGATTGATTCAACTTATTTAGGAATTTTAGAATTGTTGTTTGTCAGATTTCATGCACCGTACACTCAATCTGTCAGAAAATTGGAATATATCAAAAGTAAACTGGTTATCCCCTCAAGAACCCGAAGACCATATTACCCCTATATAAGGGCAGCGCCCCAAAATTGTCTACATAGATCCAAGTTAAATCTTAAACCGAATTTTTTATCGAAGTGTATATTATTTGGCTACTAAGATGAAAAACGCAGCGCATAGGGCAAATCTGCTAAGA